AAAAAAACAAAAATAAATAAAATAAAATAAAATGGTAAGTTTGTTTTTTCTTAGTAAAATTTATGAGTTTAAAACAGTAATTAAAAGTATAGATAATGACTAGGTGCCCGAACCTCAGTGTTTAGGGTGCCAGCCAAATACACTGGGGCTGGCCTGCTAAATAACAAAGACAACAATAACAACAAATAGCCTAGTGTTGTGGCAGGACTTGGGAGTAGAGGGAAGAGAATTGCTTAAGGCCAAGAGTTTGAAGTTGCTGTGAACTGTGATGCCACACCACTCTACTGAGGCCAACATAGTGAGATTCTGTCTCAAAGAAGAAAAAATATATATATGTCTAATTTACAGGGTGTAAAATAGTTAAAAGTAACTTAAAATGATAACTAAAACCTAGTATAAATTGCTAAGATAAATAAATTATGTAATTAAAAAATTAATATTCTGAATAAAAATGTATGTTTAAAAGCTGCCAAATAAAATTCTGCTTCTGTCTATATGTCACTTTATGTGTCTGTATATGTAATGTGTCTGTGATATTTCACAATCAAAGTACGTAAAAGAACTCTAATTAATTGACTTTGAAAAAAAAGTTAAGTGCTTCCATCAGGTATTTTATCAGAAAAACACAAAAGAACTTAAATGCCTTTTCATTCAGATCACTTTGGTACTCTTTGATAAATAAGTTTCTAAACTGTTATTAAAATTCAGATACTTAAGGATTATAAAACTGTGATCTCTTTAATATTTCTAAATTTTGCTGGATTTGACTGTGAACTTATGTTCTTAATTTTAAGCCTCTAAATTTTGAGCTTAGGTAAGTAGGTGGCTGTGGTGAGGCCTAAGGACATGTTTTCCTTGCCAAAGATAGCAGTTACAAAACTTTACAATAACATAAAAGCTTAAAGTCATGCTACATTTCATAATATGTCTGAGTCATATATAAAATATAATACTTCAGTGGCTAAAATTTTGGGGAAACTGACTTTGTCCAAAATAAAATTTTTGGCTTTTAAATCTTCTAATTTAAAATCTTCTAATCTTCACAGTGTAGCAATGTGAATAATTAACTTAAGTAAACTCTAATTCTCTTTTGTGAAAAGTGGTTTTCTGGAAAGAAGAAGGATTAATGAGAAAGAAAAATAACATTGTGTAATAAAGAATTTTATTTGATAAATTATGTCCTGAAACAGAATGACTAGTTATTAAAAGTGAGGCAGGACAAAAGAGAAGGTTTAAAATGTTTGCAAATTGTGTCTACAGCTTAAATAGCATCACAATAGAAAATCTGTGAAGAAATTTACATGTAATCCAGTTGACTATATATTGCCTTTTGACTTGTGATCTAGTTTGAAGAAATGTTTTAAGCCTCTGACATTTGACAAACCTTTCAAAATCAAAACTTAAATTCAATCTTTT